CTCCTGAAAATGAGATGCCAACATTTTACATGCCTCTACTATACCAACCAATATTAAATTTCCCTGTATCATTAGCAAATGATTAAATCAACAGCAATATTCTTTTGAACTGGAAAAAATATCTGAAATATAAATAATATATGTTTAATCAGTTTCACATCTAAACATGTGTACTGTGAAATGGCCATATTTAAACTGCCCCAACTGAACACACCATTAACTGAAAACTAATTTCCAGACTGTCCCAAGAGCCAGCTTAGAGACAGGTACTCATTTTCCCTTTCAAAGTGGAAAGGTCAAAAGAGGACTGGGATGTGATAGGGAAGCAGTTCAGCTGATCTATTTTGAGCATCATGACAAGGAAAACTAATTGAGTTTTATAGTTAGACACAGGAAAAGAAAAAAAGCTCACTTCGGGGTAGTTTTGCTATTGGAACATTAGCAGCGATGCTAATCAACTCATAGCAGCGGAAGAGCGAAGCCAAACTATAAAATTAGTAACGTCATGCAATGCTAAACCCATAAAGATTTGACATTGCAATCATTTCGCCCGGTGCAGCTGTAGGGGAGGATTCAAGTGCAATGTTTAAAGGTGACGCTACAAAGGAGTATAAAAAGATTGGGTTTAGAAAAAATTCAGGACTTCATTATACAGCATAAAGAAGCAAAAAGGATGCAAAAAAACCAAAAAACCATTGTGGGCCAACTTTAAGCAGATAATTAGCTGTACTTCGGATTTCTTTTGCACATATTTTGCATTAGTTCCTTAAGGGCTGCAAAATAAGCATGTCTTCACCCACTTCCCTACTTATGTCAGGATCCATTTGGCAGTATTGATCCGCCCAGCACATGGCAATGTAGCTTGAGCGTGGTTTTATCTCCTTGTTGCTCTTGTTGTTTCTTTGATGGTGCATCACCTTCATCAATATTGCAAGGTGATGAAGCACTGCTCTACAAATAATGGCATGCATCTAATTTATACCAAGGCCTCTTTACACAGCTCTATAAGTCTAAAGGGGCACTAAAGAAAGTATAAATATAACTCGTGCCCCCTTCAAGGCCCTGTTATGCGGCCAGAGTGGTGTAAAGGCACCGCAGTGGAAATGAGAATCAGGCCCAGTGTTTAGAACACTAACTTATGGCCGGAAAACGGCAGTTATTTACACAATTCTTAGGTCACAATGCCAAAACAATGGCTATCGTTTTTTATTTGTGAATTTCTCTCTGACTGAATCGTGCTTATATTGTAGACAGCAAATACACAAGTAGACTCTGGAAGGCTTTCCCCCTAACTGCTATCGTCTCCTAAAAGTTAACTCCCAGGACTCTGGGAGTGAAAGTCAGCACAAAATCATGGGAATCACACAACTTCCCCTACCATTTCTCATTGTAGAAAATCAGCCTTAGGAGCATGATCAGATATGTTCCTGATGGAGAACTTGATGGGAGAGAGAGACGGGAAGGAAACTGAGAAACAAGGGTTTGGTAAGGTGCATCAGTGGCTTTATGATAGCACATATCAGATTGGGGCAGAACTCAGGGTGGACCAATCCAATGGAAATAATACTCTCAAACTCCAGGGGACTGGGAGCTCCTCAAATCACTCTTTAGCAGCATTTTTGTCTGGTCAAAGGACCTGGAGAGAGGGTGAGGTCTCCTTGGGGAGGGGAAATAAAATCAATTCCAGAAAACCACCCTGAAAAGGAACAAGTCTTTAAATGGACAGGAGCAGAGACTGAAACAAAGAGCTGGATGATGAAGGATGCACAAGTGGGAGGATAAGAGAAAACGTGAGACAGCAGGAGGAAGAGAAATGAACGGAAAGGAGGAACGAGGCTAGAGGACCCTAGAAAAATGAACCAGTGGTGTGTAAACTTTTCTGGTCATCTTCCATTAGCATTTCATTTTCTCATATGGTTTTATTTTCAGGGATAGCATGTTCTCATGGCTACCACTGTGACCGATTTCAACAGCCACGATACTGACTGGGGTTACTCAGAACCAGACGGCAAATGACTGGTGGAGTGCGCATCGAACGATGACCTTATTTTCATCCATGACCCAAAACAACAGGGTACATTTCACTCGGCTAGATGGTCACGTGATTACTCACCTGACCTCTGCTGGGTGACATCACTAGACAGTCACCCCACCCAGCATCAGGTGTGCTCCTGGACAACTTTCCACATAGTCAACATAGACCATCATGCGTCCATGTCGGCCTTCACCTGCCCATTGTTAGAAGCTTCAAGAAAAGACGAACTTTCAGGAAACCTACCTGGGAGAAGTTCAGTGAAACCCTAGAATGAAGTATCGTTACCATCCTCTGGCTTTCCATCCCAATCAACAAAGCCTACAGCCTTTTCTGTGGAGCCACCTTCAAGGCTGTATGTGTGTCCATTCCATGAGGCTATCGCCCTGTCTAAATTCCTTGTTTAAATGCTAAATGTTCAAAACTATTGAAGTGGTACGAACAGTCTGGAGAGCCAGTTATTGCTGACCACTTAATACAGTCCTTAGATGCTACGAGACAAGCAAGATGGGAGGAAACAACAGGGAATATGAATTTCACCCATTCCCGCCAGAAATCATGGAAACTTCTGCGTCAACTTGGCTCAGCACAACCCCCACCAGTGCCGCCCTGTCCTCCTGTCAGCCCAAACCAAGTGGCTAGCCACTTGCTTCAGACTGCAAAAGTTCCCCTGAATAAGCTCTTAAAACAGCAGAGTCACAATGAAACGGCAGCAATTTAGATGACGTAATCCACTTAATCAGTGTATAGGAACATTCACAAGCACTGAATTAGACACTGTACTTAGCATCAAAAAACCCGGAATGGCGACATGATACAACAATATTTCCACCAGAGTTCCTGAAACACCTTGGAACCAATGCCTGTCAATGGCTATCCAAATTCCTGATATGGGTTGTTAATGAGGGTAACCTGCCAAGGATCTGGAGGATGTCAAAAGTGATCCCCCTTTTAAAATCTGGAAAGGACCCACACAATGTGGCAAGCTACCGACCAATCTCTCTACTATCTATTGTCTTCAAAGTCCGGAGCAGCTTATCCTTCAGTGTATATCTCAGAGGTGGAGACAGCTCTCAGTGTCAACCAAGCTGGCTTCTGGAAGGGTCAAAGCACATGAGATCAAGTCCTAGCCCTTGTTACATATATAGAAAACAGGTTTCAACAAAACCTGAAGACAGGAGCTGTTTTCTTAGACCTGACAGCGGCCTACGATACAGTATGGCACACTGGTCTTCTGGTAAAATTATCAAGAGCTCTCTTAGCATGGGTTGAATGTCTACTTGTGAACTTCTACTTTGTGATAGGCATTTTTGGGTATATATCAGAGAGTGTCTTCTCCATGCATTCGTTCAACCCAACGGCTTACCCCAAAGCTCCATGCTTGCGCTCCCCCTGTTCAATCTGTAGACAAATGACCTGCCACTGACTCAGTCACGCAAGTCTACCTATGCAGATGACATCTGCTGCAGTGCCCCGTTGTGCTCTTTCACCGAATTGGAGAACATCTTGAACACCGACCTGGCCAAGATGGCAGACTACTGTAGCAGTTTGTGCCTCCAACAAAGTGTGACTAAGACAGTTTCAAGCGTCTTCCAACTCCAAAGTGCAAGGGTCTTCCTCAAAAGGAAAATGATAAACACGAGACAAAACCGGTCTATCTTGGGGTCACACTGGACCTCTTTTTGACTTTCCACAACCATCTAGAAAAGACTGCTGCCAAAGTCAGGACCAGGAATAATCTAATCGTCAAATTAGCCAGCTCAACATGGGGCGTAGGCACAGACACTTCGTACCCTAACTCTGGCACTGTGCTAATCCTCAGAGAAATACTGTGCCCGTGTGTGGTGTCAATCGCCTCATGCTAAATTGGTTGACATCAAACTGAACTCAACCATGAGTATCATCACAGGCACCCAGCGCCCCACTCCTATCCCATGGCTACCAGTTCTGAGCAACCCGGTGCCATCTCTCCCCCCCCCCCCCCCCCCCACACACACATTCATTGCAAAGAGTCTACAGCCAGACTGATGGAAAAGCTATGTGCCAGTTCAGGTCTCCCACTGTTCACAGACATTTTCAGTCACCCCAGAGCACAACTTACGTCCAAGTGTCCAGTGTGGTCTCAACTGCCAGATTGAAATCTGTCAGCAGCAACCCTATGGCGCGATGAGTGGTCAGCTAAAAACATCTGGAATGGTTTCCTTGTCGCTGATCTAACAGTTTGACTGCCGGGATTTGACCTATCAAGTCACTGTTGGACTCTGCTGAACAGATTCCAAACTGGCCAAGGAAGATGTGCAGCCAACCTCTACATATGGGATCTGCACAACGACCCACTTTGTCACTCTGACCTTCGTCCGTCAATGGTGCATGTTGTTGACCAGTGTCAAGTGACTAGATTTTATGGTGGCCTTAGGGCCCTTCATTGTGCTGATGAAAATGCTATTGGGTGGCTCGGCAAGCACTTCAAATGCTACAAGAGGATGGCTACCGATGTAATTTTGTATGATAGGTAACTGGACTACCAGCAGGAAGAAAAACTTAACACCACAGTGATATGGGAATTCTCTACATTTCAAAGTAAGTGTATTAGGGTTGGTCACTAATGCAAAGAAAATGGACTGTGTCTTCACTAGGATAAAAGGTGTGTAAACGCAAGTTAACCAACTGGAGACAAAATCCTAGCATAGTTTGTAGTTTTCACACAATTTATCAGCTCAAGTTAAAAACTAGGCTTCCCCCATAGCCTAACTTGACCAGCTAATTTGTGTGAAAACTGTGTACTGTCTTGCCTTCACTGGGATTTTATCTTGAGTTAGCTAACTAGAGTTAAGAACAGACCATCTTTTCCTTAGTGAAGACAAAACCTAAGAAGTAGATAAAGTCACTGGCCTACACACCTTTATAGTGACTATATAAGTGTCTCCTTCAGCTTATGTTACTGAATCAGTTTCCCGCTATGCCATACCTTCATATGTTCCCACTTCAAGAAGAGTTCCACTCTGCTCAAGGTCCAGAAACTCCTGCACAGTCAGAAAGTTATAGTCCACACCAGGCACTTCTCCTTCTCGCGGAGGACGGGTTGTGCCTAAATGGAGAAAACTACAAGTTAGTGCAACATCAATATTATCAGGAATTAAATGGGACATTGAAACATCTTCCATGGAAATAACAGTATCAGGAAATTAATTCTCCCATGTGAGCTATGTGGAAAGAAACCTTGAGAGTCAGCACAAATTCTAGAATTTACAGCCCAACACAAATACCGAATAGGTGCAGTAATTCTGTCCTTCGCAGACATGTATTACCAATTGTTTTACCCTCCTGTATTCGCTGGGCTGTGCCAAACGATCTCTTGTGGCGTATGCAGAAAAGACATCTGCCAGAATTTGGTGTTGGGAACACACCAACAATTATGCCTGCGGCTAGTTTGGGATTTTATTTTACTGACTCTCCTGTGTATGTTTCTAGATAAGGAGGCTTCTTTGCAGCTTCTATTTGTATGTCTCCAATGCAGCAACACTCTCCTCTCACATCTCAGTTCAAGATATCTTTTCTCCCTTGCACGTACCTGTTAATTTCTCCCTACTTTTGCTATTACTTTTTACTTAGCACTAGAAAGTGTTGTGGGGCACAGTTGTTATACAAAAATGTTAAAACTCACTTTCTCTCACACAGACACACACACACACCTGGTAGAATCATAGAATATCAGGGTTGGAAGGGACCTCAGAAGGTCATCTAGTCCAACCCCCTGCTCAAAGCAGGGCCAACCCCAACTAAATCATCCCAGCCAGGGCTTTGTCAAGCCTGACCTTAAAAACCTCTAAGGAAGGAGATTCCACCATCTCCCTAGGTAACCCATGTACATGCTGGTACAGTAGGTTCACCTAAAAACTTCATTCCAGTTCAAGAAGTATTACTGAGTATCCCTCATTTTAAGTACAGAGAATTATTTTAAACTTATATCATCTCTAAAAACTAGAATGATTTTTTTTATATTGTATCCACAATTTGTTCCGGTAACGGTAAGATTACAAGTTTAAACATTCAAAAAATGTTTGAAAATACATGAGTGTGTTAAGGTTCTCCGGGTAAACAGCTCCTTGCCCCTGCTGTACCATCTCTGTTTCGCAAAGGCTATGTATAACATGAGCATGAATATATTGAAACAGAAACAGGATTACGACACCCAACCATTTGTGTGCCTGTCCATGACTGAATGAGTTGGCTAAAGTTCAATCCACACAAAATGGCAGTGACGGTAGTTGACGGGGCGGTATTGCTTTCTCTGTCAAGGAGCATGTCCAGAATTTGCCACTGAGGCTCATAGTGGGAGTTGGCAAAACACACACACACACACACACACAAAATCCACCCTGAACCTGGAAATATTTCAATGGAAAATGGAGACAAATTTTTCCTGTTTTTCTACCTGCCCTCCTCGTAACCTCGTAATTCTCTTGGATTCCTGGCTGCTCCTGGAGTCTCAGATAATGCTGCTGGCCAGAGCAGCCCTTATCACTTATATTAGATATGGAATAATATAACCCTTCCTCACTGAACTCGACCTCCTCACATTCATGTTGATGTGACCTCCAGATTAGATTATTGTAGTAAGGTCTTCAAGGAGTTATCTGTGACCAGCATCTTAGAAGCTTCAGCTAGCGTAGAACAGGGTGGCCTATGACTTCACAACTGTCACCTCCTGGTCCCCCAGAGACTACTCCAGCTCCCAGTTTGCTGCTGGATGCAATTCAAGCTATTGACTTCAATCTACAATAAAAATCTGCATGGTTTGGGGTCTGGCTACTATTTCTGAGGCTGCCTGTTTCCCAATGCAGCATCCCAGAGACTGAGAGCAACTGGGACATAGCCCTTTGGTATGAATATGAGAAGTCTGGGAACAGGCTTCCCTCACTGGTGCATCATCTATCCTGAAATTCCGTTCTCCCCATCAGCTTAAGTTCAGCGAGTGTGATGGAAGAGGAGTCTTTTCACAACTTTTCGTTGCGGTGGCATATTCCACTGTGCTTTAGATCATAGGGTACAGTTCATTTAATTGATACTGATCGGTTTTATGTTCAATAGAATTTATTTTCTTTAAGTGACTCCTGAGGCCACAGGATGTGCGAATTCTGTCAGTCTAACGATAAGTATGACGACACATTCACAGATATTAACACACATTCAACCTCAGAAGAAAGTGTAGCGTAAGATGCTTGGAGTGGAGTGGGCACTTTTGTCCACAATCAATCTGCTAGTTCAGGAATAACCAGAAAGCAGCAGAAAGCTATAGTACTAAAGGTACGTCTACACTACCTGCCGGATCGGCGGGTAGCGATCGATCTACTGGGGATCGATTTATCGCATGTAGTCTAGACGCAATAAATCGATCCCTGATCGCTCTCCCGTCGACTGCTGAACTCCAGCTCGGCAAGTGGTGGAAGCAAAGTCGATGGGGGAGCCGCAGCCGTCGATCCCGCACTGCGAGGACGCGAAGTAAGTAATTCTAAATCGATCTAAGATACGTCGACTTCAGCTACGCTATTCTCGTAGCTGAAGTTGCGTATCTTAGGGCTGGTCTACACTGCCGCGCTAGTTCGGCGGCTGGGGATCGAAGTTCCGAGTTCGATTTATCGCATCTGGTCTGGACGCGATAAATCGAACCAGGAAGTGATCGCCGTCGACTGCGGTACTCCAGCTCAACGAGAGGAGTACTGCGGAGTCGACGGGGAGCCTGCCTGCCGCGTGTGGACCGCGTCTGAACCGCGGTAAGTTCGAAGTAAGGTATGTCGAAGTCAGCTACGTTATTCACGTAGCTGAATTTGCGTACCTTACTTCGACTTGGGGGGTAAGTGTAGACCAAGCCTTAGATTGATACCTCCCCCAGTATAGACCAGGCCTAAGCCTGACTGCTCATTATCGGAGCACTCTTCCTTCCCGCCGGCAGAACCTCCTCAGCACAGGCATCTGCCTCAGCCCTCCACAAAAAGGCTGAACTCCATGACTGCACGTAGAAAGAAGTGGGGGCTCTTGGGAATTTACAGGGGAGAGTGAAGCTCACAGAAGATGTTCGGGCATAACGTTCCTGTCCCACTGACAACTTGGCAGAGGTTTTCAAGTGCCAGGAAAGGGGAAAGTAGGTTTCTACGCCATCCATTTGAAATATGGTCCACGAGGTCACTCCTGAGAAATCGGCGCCGGGGGGGGGGGGGGGGGGGGGGAAGAGGATGCGAAGCAATGGTGACTTTACATCACCTTTGCACTCCTCGTATTCTTGGGCTATCCAGGCCACTCTTGCTGATGCTCTAGCTGCAATGACCCCCTCCTCACGAACCATCTGCCCACTAATAGCAGCCAGCGCACAGCATGCGCCAGCCATACCCTGTTTTCCCCCGGCACACCTAAAATAGGGGCTATGATGGACAGTAGGGGAGAGGGAAGGCACAGAACTACACTGCCCTGGAAACCAACTTACACACTGGGTATTTCTAATGACCTGTTTCCGTCACCTTTTACTTTACTTTGCTGGAGCAGTGTAAAAGGGCTAAAATGTAACGGAGAGTTAGACCTTCTGTCTTTCCTCATCCAGTGTAACCGTCAAATGTCACCCGGGACCATCGGACACTCATGAATACAATGTATAGTAAATGATTTATCATGTAACTTGCGTATTACACACAAACACACAGATAAGAAGGGGAATAAATTATTTAATAAAATGAAGATCAGGGAACTTCGGGATTCATTTCAAACCTCCCCATAATTTCTTTATTCCTACCTTCCTCCTGAGATTATTTATTAACCATTTTTTTTCCTTCTTCTGTTTTTTATGATGGCAAAACTGCAGCTTTTTACATGACTGTACTGGCTGGCTTTTTTACATGACAATGATATCTTTGCCATAATTCCTCTGAGCCATTTGGATGGATTTATGTGTTTCATTTCAGCGTTCTTAATTTCCTGAAAATGTTCAAGTAAAAAAAAAAAAAAATCGCAGATGGGCTTGTTATCAGCAGGACTGTCTGTGACACACATTGAATGCATTAGAAATGCTGAGCCGTAGCGTAAAAAGAAAAACATTACATCAGCTAGATAACATTTGTCACCTCGCATCAGTCTCCAATAACGAATGTAAGGAAATAAAACAACACACGTTAGGGTGCCCTATTTGGGGGAAGGTTTAAAAAAAACAACAACAACTATCCATGTTATTGTCTAGCACAAAGATTGTTCTCAGATGTTTGTGCTGCTATCCATCCTGCCTTGAATCTGAGCAAGTGTTACCGACTGCGATTCAGAAAGAAAGAGGGAAGGGAAACCCCGCCTCCTCCTTTCTTGTAGCAGAATGACAGGCTTGCCGGCTGGACACACGCCTGGCAGATGGCATTTCAAAGAGTTTTCATAAACCATCTGGGATGTGTACAATGATTACAAACCACACTTACAACAAAGCCAGAAGGGTTTCTTCTCAACAGAAAAAAAACAAAAAAAAAACAAAGCCAAGCAAATTCTATTCCCTGTCTCAGGAAGGGCATGCTAAAAATAACCAGTGTCTTCCATTCTCAGATTGTATATGGCCTAGACACAAATGCATGACTAATTTGCAGCATGTATGTTAGAGATTACCCCCAACACCTTCCCAGCCAGGAACCTGTCACCGTAATGTTCTGCTGATGAATCTGAAATAGTAATTAGGTCCCTTGTTATTAATGGGATTTAATTCTGTGCACAGCATAGGACTTTTCTTTACATTCCATTTCATCATCTTTAGAGTGTGATGGGCTTTGCTGAGAGAGGACTCGGAGGATCATGGTCCACTTCATCAGAGCAGAGCATCACTAATGGCAGATTAGAACATGGCTAATGGCAGAACTAATTAAACACACTGAGCTTTGTCGGCTACCCTGGCCGGAGTGAGATGTTCAGCTTGAAAACAGGAGCCAATCGTATTTAAATATGTTAACCTGGCTGCCATATTTGCACTGAAATATTTAGCAGTATCAAATGTTACTGCCATTAGATAGTAATTTAGCTAATTAATTTGTGCTAAGCCCTGCTGTGAGACTCGCTCAGAATTGCTAA